TCATCGACTTCATGCTTAAACAAGTCTTCAACAACTGTTGTAACAATATCACCAAAAGTAGTAAATGCTAGTAAAACATCACCTAATTGAACATCACTAATACGTATTTCACTTCGATCAACACACTGAACGAGTGTATCTGGTAAAAAACATGCTTTCATATGTTCTATTGTAAAAATTGTTGTTCCAGAGGTGATTAATACTTTATATTTATTGAATTCGTCTTCATTATTTAAATCAAATTCTTTTCCATTACATACAAAAGAATAAAGAAAACTTGTATTATTATAAATATTATCAGCCACTCTCTTAAAATCGTCTAGAGTAAATTGTGTGAGTAAGTTGGCTACAACTGGCTGTTGATCATTGAGTTGAAATTGAGTAGATATTGATGTCATTTTAATATTAATTCAATGTTTATGTAGTCTGCATAATTGTTCTTTCCAAAGAACTTTTAATTCAGCATTCTCTTCTATGAAATAATATACGTTTGTGAATGCCGGAAATTATAGGTGTGGGTCTAGGTATGAATGAATAAATAAAAGATCGTCACTCAAAAAGTCTCTAACGCCCACTTTAGCATCTTAAAACGAACAAGAAAAAACATTCCATTTGAAATGCAGATATGAAGAGGATAGGTTGTTTCTTATGCGAGTAATTATCCTTATGAAACGACTAGTCTTCCACACAGGCTTGACACTAAGCATTTTTTAGAGAAATGTTGAAGGAAGCTAAAGAACACATGTGAGTTCCACATTTGAGCCTCACAAGGGTTATCTTAACAAGTGTTCTACTACATTAAAAGGCGTTGTCACCCAACATACGAATTGAATTATTCATTTAACATTTTTATAAAATAACTTGCTGCCATCGCAGTCGTCCTATATTTCCTATATTTTTCAAGTTAGTCCTATAATAGACTATATTTTGAGCTTTTTTTCTATATTCCTATATTTTTCAAAAAATTAAAGATTATTATGGAAAGAACCATATTTCCTTCAACTAAGTGCCTAGCATGTTGTTTAAATATTATCAGCGGCGTTCATAACATAATATAAAGCACTAAGGGCAATATTTTCTTTAAATTTTTTCCATCTTAATATCACTTTTAAAAAAATAAAATTCAACACAAATGTATAGATTTACATGTGTTTCGTCAGTAGTTATTGCAATAAACAGTGAAAGAGCACATGCTAATCTATATATTTGTGATGAATTTTATTTCAAAAAAAGTGATATTAAGACAAAAGAAAATTTAAAGAAGTTACAGTTAGAAAGTGATTCTATTATGTTTGACAGTACTAGAAACGGTGGTGTTTATTTTCAAGTAGTGTCAGAAACGAAGAAAACTTTTACCAATGCATCGACTATCTGTTACTAAACCGACTATTTTGCTGTGCTTTAAATATGTATACATTTTGATTATATAGCTCTGAGACTGTTAGAAACTATAATAGTCTTGACAAAAGATATCGATTGTTTTCTTTACATTAAAAGACAGCATTTTTGTGATCTTTATCTCAGTCAATTTTATAATATTTTTATGATATGTAGGCAAGGGAGGAAAAACTGACTTTTTGATTTAAATCAAAAATGAAAATCAAAAACATCAGACAAATCAATGAAAATGGTAAAATTTTTAATCTTTGAGCTTGAAAATATCAATCGAGAGTGAAACATTTGAAATCTGACTGTTTTTTTGCTTCTTTGGATTTTTCCGATTTTTTTTAATTTTCAATTTTTCTGTTTTTTTTCAATTTTCTTATTTTCTTCGTTTAAAATCAGTTGGTTTTAATGTAGAAAAATCAAGAGGAAAATCAACAAAATCAACAAAAAAAATCTGATTTCACCTGTTTCCTCTTTGCATGTAGCTGTGATATAGTTGAAGGTTAACCGAACATAAATTATTTCTTCTTGTCTTTGTATAAAATATTGCCATACTACTGTTTTTCATAACGAAGCTGTATTTTTATTTAGGTGAGCCGAGGTACGTTGTAAGAACATCACCTACCATTCTGCAGTCGTGATTTTTACATGTCTAGCTGTTTTTAAACGAAATATTAGCGTCCTATATATTTCCTATATATCCGAGGACGATCCTATATATTTGAGATCTAACAATTCCTATATATTCCTATATATTTTTGAAGGGCTGCTGCGAACCCAGATAACTTGTCATTTCCAGAAAAAGAACACACTATCAATACTGCGTTCTAACGCCTTCCTAAAATTATTCAGTTTTTTGTACAAAACAAAACACTATAAAACACAACATATATATAAAAACAAACGTCTTAACGTGCGAAAATAAAAAACTTGGCGTTGAAATGCTAATCTGTAGAAACATTTTTAAGACATCAGAAAATATTACAACTCAAAAAACTCTGAAATCACTCTATCGAGCAAGAACAGCGGCAATAGTTATTGATCATGCAAACTTAATTATCAATCTCTTTGGAATACGTTGCCTTGCTTGAATTCACTGTCAACGTGCGCCGAAATGCTGCCAGGAAAAAAAATTCTCAGCACTACTAGGAAGGAAGAACGAAGCCAAAACTCACTATGTCAACAGTAATTTGAATTTGGTGAATATTTTGCAAGAACACTTGACGACTTTCGCTCGTCAGTATATATTTGAAGAAACAAATGCAAAGGAGCTCTTAGAACGACGAAATACCCTTTTATGCAGCTGAGAAACAAAACAAAAATAAATTTGTAAATAGTAAACAATGAGTAAAGATGCCATTGATGCGTGCACGACACGTTTTCTCCTTCTATCGAAAGCAAAGGAATACTGCATTTCATTTCAATCCATTCAAGTAAACGAAGAGAGAAAAAACTGATGTCTAATGTGACTGCTCGCGAAAATATGTCTCTTCATACATTCTCCAAAAGAATAAATGAAATTGAAGACTTTCAGTGACGACAATGGTGTCATGCTTGAGCACCTATACATTTTTCTCTGCATATTCTTCGGATCAGCTTTTCGATCATCTGTGATGTTTGCGCTGGGCAAAGAAAAAGAAACCGACACAATACCCATGACAAGTTGACCAATAGTGAATAGTATTTGCATGACGAGGCAAAAGTGAGGAATTGAAACTGAGCAAATCCATCTGAAACATACCACTTTATACAAAAGTATTTGCG